CCCCCGCCCTGCGCGCGCACGCGCCGCCGGGTCCTGGCCGCTCACACGCGGCCCCGCCACCAGCACCGCCGCCGGGGAGGGGCTACGGAAAATGGCGCGGGCGGCCCCGCGCGCGCACACATCCCTGCCAGGACCGCGCCCCGCGTGCGTCACGTCCGGCGCGCGGCGATGGCGGGGCGCGCGCGGGCGGCGCGATGGAGGCAGCGCGGGCGGGCGGCGGCACCGCGCACGTCAGCTTCGTGTGCCAGCGCTGCCTCCAGCCGCTCAAGCTCGACACCTCCTTCAAGGTCCTCGACCGCCTCACCATCCAGGAGCTCACCGGTACCGCCGGCGCGGCGCGGCGGGGCGGGGCGGGGGACTGGGGCCGGGGTGAGGCCCAGGCGCGGGCCCGGCTGACGCCTCCTCTCCCGCAGCCCCGCTGGTGACTGCCGCCCCTGCCCGGCCCGGGGACGCGCACGAAGAGGAGAGCGCCCTGACGGAGGTACGGCGGGGTCGGGCCTGGCGGGGAGCGGCGGCGGCTCCGCCGGGCCCCCCGGTGACGGTGCCCCCTTGCCCCCAGGAAGCCTTCACGGAGAATCGGCAGGATGGCGTGTCCAGGAGGTTCATCCCGCCAGCCAGGTACGGCCGCTGTCACCGCGCTCCTGCCGGGCCCGGCCCAGCTTGGAGCCCTCCTGCTCCTTCCGCCCAGCCCGAGCCGGTGCTACGGGAAAAGGTCCCCGCCGGACCTTAGAGCCTCCCCCGCGGGAGCCCCGTGGCCCTCGGGCTGCTCGGCAGTTCGGACACACAGAACTACTCAGCACTCGGGGGGCTGCTCCTCAGCTGTGGGTCAGACCCGGCAGAGCTCCCAAAACGTGGGCTGCCCCCTGTGCTCCCCCACCCTGGCCCAGCCCCAAGTCCAGGTCTGGCACTGGAGCTGCCTCTCCGTGCCCCTCAGCACTCACCTCAATAACATTCTTTCCAAGAATGATGTCAACAGAAAGTGCCAACAGTTTCACCCTGATCGGGGAGGCGTCGGATGGCGGCACCATGGAAAACCTCAGCCGGAGACTGAAGGCAAGTGGGACTTGAGCTGGTAAATTCGGGTACTTGTGAATGCAGTACCAGTTTTGCTTGATGCCCTGCAAAACTAAACTGCAAAGTTCTGTGAAGTACTGGCCTTCCAGGGGCTTAGTTGGTGAGTAGTTCAGTAAAGCTGGATTGTATCAATCGATATTTGACCCCCAAGGAAGACTTTGCCAACTGGAGCTGCTGAAAGCCAGCAGGCAGCTGCCTGTGGCTCCACTTTGCACTAAGGTGAGCTTTGTCTGCAGGTCACCGGCGACCTCTTTGACATCATGTCTGGGCAGACAGACGTGGATCACCCCCTGTGTGAGGAGTGCACAGACACCCTGCTGGACCAGCTGGACACACAGCTCAACATCACAGAGAATGAGTGCCAGAACTACAAGTGAGTGATCCAGAGGTGACCCGAGACCAAGTTGTTGTAGCTTGAAGCAGGATCAGCACGGAGAGGTCGGGGTTGGCAAGAGGTGCAGGGGCTGCCACAGAAGCGAGGACTGGCAGTGGAGCACTTCCCAGGATCCCTGTTTTGGTAATCCTGTCTGCTCTCCTTTAGGAGATGTCTGGAGATACTGGAACAGATGAACGAGGATGATAAGGAGAAGCTACAGACAGAACTGAAAGAACTGGCGCTGGAGGAAGAGCAGCTGATTCAGGAGCTGGAGGATGTGGAGAAGAATCGCAAGATTGTAGCTGAGGACTTTGAGAGAGTCAGGGCAGAGGCTGAACGGCTGGAGCAGGAAGAGGCTCAGTGAGTGAACTGTACCTGCAGCCTGTGGTGGGGGTTGGAGGCAACAGAGAAATGAGGTTGTAATGTGAGAAATCTGTAAATGTGCCCAACGGCTTGTTCTCTGCAGAAGGGAAGGTGGCCAGACCAAACTGACCCACAGAGACATCCCTCTGATGTAAAAGGTGGCACTTAGCACTTCTTGTCTTGCTTTTGCTCAAAGGTATCAGAAGGAATACTGTGAGTTCAAGAGGCAGCAGCTGGAGCTGGATGATGAGCTGAAAAGCGTGGACAACCAAATGCGCTATGCCCAGATGCAGTTGGATAAACTAAAGAAAACCAATGTGTTCAATGCAACCTTTCATATCTGGTAAGGTAGACACTGGAGTATCGTGTCCATTTGCTTGGAAGCTGCAGTGTGGGGCTGTTTTAGTCACACTGCATTCAACAGGAAAGGTGCAAGCCAGGTCACAGTCACCTCCCAGCCTCAGCTCCCAGCAGCGGCAGCTGAGCAAGGTGGGCCAGGCTGTGGGACTGGTAAATGGCTCCTTCACCAACCCCAGTAACACTTCCAGCCAGCAGTGACACTGGCATTGGAAGTCACAGAGCAGGTGGTTCAGGGAGGCTGGTTGCATTTTTTTTAGTTGTGTTTTTATGAAAAAAAAGAAGACAAGTGGCTGGTATTTACATACACTTGTTGAGCAAAGTCCCAAACCCACCGTGTGTGTGGCTGGCACTGTGTGTGCCGTGCTGTTGGGACACAGCCCCTGTTTGGTTCTTGTGCCAGGAGCTGTTCCCAGCCCAGCACACTTACTTATAATTCCTCTTATCACAGGCACAGCGGGCAGTTTGGCACAATAAACAACTTCAGGCTTGGCCGCCTCCCCAGCGTTCCTGTGGAGTGGAATGAGATCAACGCTGCCTGGGGCCAGACAGTGCTGCTGCTGCACGCCCTGGCCAACAAAATGGGCCTGAAGTTTCAGAGGTACACACAGTGCCACACACAGGTCCCTTACAGCCCAGAGAAAGGCAGGGCAGACTGAGGTGCCTCTAAATCCTGTCTCCTTTCAGATACCGTCTTGTCCCCTATGGCAACCACTCGTATTTGGAGTCCCTCACGGATAAATCCAAGGTGAGAGATCCCACACGAATCATGGGACATGGACCTTGAGTGCCAGAGCCCTGGTCATCCTGGGAATGCAGCAAACAAACTTGGTCTTTATGAATGTGGAGTCCAGGAGAGCTGGCTGCCCCAGCTCCTCCAGCATGGTAACATCTCACTCCACATGCTGTATCAAGCCACTGGTTCTGCCAGCCTGTGGTGTTAAAAGTGACAGAACTGTTGAATACACCATAGCTGGCTGGAGGCAGATGGCATGGTTTGGGGTGATTGGCAGGTGGGTGGAGTGATTTGGGATTGGTGGAGGTCAGGAACGCATGGCAGGCACTGAGACAAAACCAGTCACACTCGCTCTATGCCACCAACTGCTTCTGAGTGTCCTGTGAGGAATTCAAGGCTCACATGAAGTTAAAGAGCTGCAGTGACTGTATTTAAAACAAGTGCTTGGGGTGCCCAATACAAACCTCTTTTCCAGGAGCTCCCCTTGTACTGCTCTGGAGGCCTGAGGTTCTTCTGGGACAATAAGTTTGACCATGCCATGGTGGCGTTCCTGGACTGTGTGCAGCAGTTTAAAGAGGAAGTGGAAAAAGGTGAAACTCGGTTTTGTTTGCCTTACAGGTGAGTGTTGCCACGTAACTGTCAAATTAACCCCTGTGTGCTGTCCCCAGCACTGCTTGGTGTTTCAGTCCTGGCTTTCTGGAGTTATCTGAGATTCTTTATCATGTGCACTTACTAGTTTAATTGAAATTTAAAGCCAGCCCCCCTGAGGCTTGTTAGGTTCCCTTTAAAAACAAAGTATTTTTATGGGATGGTATGAATGTCAGATTCAAAATCTAGTGCTTGATGTCATACTGAGATTAAATGTTTGCAGGAGGAATGCACTAATAAAACCTTGTGTGTGATACAGGATGGACGTGGAGAAAGGAAAGATTGAAGACACAGGTGGCAGTGGTGGCTCTTACTCAATTAAAACACAATTTAACTCTGAGGAGCAATGGACAAAAGCACTAAAATTCATGTTAACTAACCTGAAATGGGGCCTTGCCTGGGTCTCATCCCAATTCTATAACAAGTAACCATGGTCATAATTTGACCTGGCAGCTGTGGGTGTCTGCATTAACGTTGGAGAAAGGCAAGTTAAGATGTTTCTTAATATTAACCAGTACAAAATGTTTACAATACCAAAAATCCACAAGACACTTTATTTAAAATGCCATTATTACAAGTAGTTTATAGAAAAGCAATATGCAAAGTTGTATCATTGAGTTGAACAGAATAAACTCAGCTATTAAATGGATGCTAAACTGGTACTTTTGGGGTTTATGACCAATGTTACAAACACAGGGAATAACATGGAAAAACTCTCACAACTCTGCCTGATCATTAAAGAGTAACTACAGTTTGAAATAAAGTATTTTCCCAGTCACATCAGCACTTCTTTGTACCACTGAGCTTAAACAAGGTTTGATACCACTTAAAACAGTTTGTAATCCCTCTTGCAGCCTATTCCTGCACTGAGGAAACACTAAAACTATTCCTTGCTCTGAGTGGTTTCCTTCAGCTCTGCCTGGCACAGCACAAACCCTGGCACTCACAGGGCACCTGCCTGGGCACCTGCTGTCATGACAGGATTCTGTCCTTGTCACAATGCTGGTCGTTACTGGCTGTGGTAGGGCAAGAGCAAAAGTGTTCCAAGTGCTGGCAGAGGGGAAATAGTCACAGGCAGCTGGAAACAGGGATTTTAGAAAAGCAGCAGGTGGAGACAGCACAGCACCGTTTGTAACATGGGTGTCAGAGCTGCTCCCAGCAATCCTGGTCATGGCTGAGCACCAGGCACAGCAGCACCTTTCAGACATGACTACTGTGAGGAGTCTGTTCAGTCAAAGGGAACTTTGACCCAACTTAAAAGATGCACCTCTTACAATAAACCTCTGGGTCCCAAAGAGGCATTTCTAAAAACTACTGTGCTGCTCAGCCTCCCTCCAAAGTGTGACTGGGATGCCTGGCAGGACGAGCTTTGCTAATTCACACGACTGCTTTTCCAGAACCCCTGATGCTCAGGACCAAAGGTAATCCTGAGCTTTGCTGGGAGCCCAGGTAGTGTCACAGAGGAGGAACTGTGGGTTCAGCAGCGTGACAGTTCCAGACAAAGTGGCTCTATTTCAGGGGCAGAATCCTGCCTTTGGGAGCCTTGGTCCCACAGCTCCCATGGTGCTGCCTGGGCACGGCGCTGCCCAGGATGCGCCTCAGCACCGCGTACGAGAACTCCTCGATGCTTTGTGGAGTAATGCCAGTGATACAGTTCAAATGCTCCACAACCTGAAAACAGAAAAGACAGGGTGCCTAAAGGCCGTGAGTTTACAGCCTAACAAGAGTAACTGCTCCATGGGCACGTTTCACAGGGAGTTGTCCTCCATTTGTTTCTCTACCTGCCAGCAAAACGCTGCCTGTGGGGGTTTGTCCTGGCCTTGAAGCACTGAAGACAAGGACACACACCAGTGCCAGTACATGCTGCACTACACCATGGCCTCCTGAGGCCCAGGAACTTCCTGCTAAAACCCCTGAGATGTTCCCTCCCTCATGCCACTGCCAGCACAGCCCCACCTATGTCCTTGCTGTGCTGAAACAGATAAACCACCCTGGCGTCGTGTTCCTATAGAGCCAACACGTTCAGCAGCAACTGTACCTGCTCCCAGTGCCCAGGGCTCAGGATGAACATGCCTGTGCTGATGATTCCAACAGCCAAGAGCATGAAATCTTCCTTCACTGTCAAAAACTTGGCTCTGCAGAAGGAGAAGTGTGTTCAGGTGTAAAACGCTGCTTCACAGCTCAAAAGCACCCACTGCTGCACTTGCCACGGCCCAGGACACAACCAAGGCCTGACATTGGGAGCTGGAACTGATAGTGCATGGCTAGACTTTCATGACCAAGTAAAACACTCTCCTTGCCCCTGAAGCAGCTGTGGAGAAGCACGCTGCTGTGAACTGCTGTATTAAGAAACAGTGCTGAAAGCCCCCCAGATTAATTTTTTTAAAAAGATGCCCCGAAAATGGCATAATGGGAATTATGCTACTATTCATTAGCTTTTCTTAGGGTTTTAATTTCAAAGGGTTTTTAATTCATGGTCAGGTAAGACCCTTACACCTGCAGCTTGCTGGGTGTGGAGTTTTCGATGGCGATCTTCAGCAAAGTGTCATAGATGGTCTCTCTGGACAGGTAGCAGAAGTCCAGCAGCTGCACACACATGTGGTGCAAGGGTTTAGCAGGAAGCAAGCACCCATTGTGTCCTGGCAGAGATCACAACATCAGCCCAACATTTTGGGTCAATAAATTGAATTAGAAATGTTAGGTACTGTAAGGGAGGGATGGAGGCTTCTGAGGAAAAGTGCCCTGTCTCTGAATGCCACATGCTCCCTCAGCCTCAGTATAATTTCACTCACTCTCACATTCAGGTTGTCACACCTGGGCCAAGAAAATGGTGAGTGATTGTAGAAAATGCAGCCTTACACCAGGTTTGGGGGGTTTAAACTGGCTGTCCAGCAACATTCATCATGCTCTACAAAGTTCTCATCTGAAAAGTGAAGCCCTGGACAACATGAACGGTTCAACATGCAAAAATCTCTAATATGAGATGTTTCAGTTCAGATCAGCACCAGCTCTATCACTCTTTTAAAAAACTTCCTTCCAATTCTCTTTGATTGATATTCTCACCTAGAACCTCCAGAAGCAATTCCACGTAGGCCAACGGAGTGGGCACATTGATGTGGAAGTGCAGAGTGTTTAAAACAGCAAGCTCTGAATCCAGCAACTCCTGTTTAGTGTAAGAGTATTTTAAGGATTGCAGAAATTTTAAAGCTGTGTCACTGGTCACTCTCTGAAGAGGAAAAAAGAGAAAAGACATCTTCCAGGCAATAAGGCCCTTGGCAGGAACAAAGTGCTCCCTCACCTCCCTCCTCCCGCTGAGCACGAGGCTGCGACTCACCTGCCTGCCCTTTGAGCTGGCATGAGAAACTCAGCTCAGACCTTTCCCAGAGTTTTCCTCAACTCCCTAAACCATCCCCAGGAAGGTGTGAACCCCTGTGGCCACACGATTTTTGACAACCACAGGCTAAGTGTTTCCTGCCCTTTTTTCCCCAGCACTGGGAACATTTCCCCGCAAATCGTCACGGGACAATTTGCCTGCCCTGAAGGGAATGTCATGTCTTTTGCATTTCATTATCACTATTGCCTTTCAGAGAGGAAATCTATTTTTAAGAGAGGTGAACACAGTGCAGATTGAACCCCACTGCTAAAGCAAGGACAGGCTGAGCTGGCTTACGCTATAGTGCAGGGAGAGTTTGCTCGCGAGCTGAATGCATGACACAAGTCGCAGGACAAAGGTGCTGACTATCTGATCCCTCACAGAGCTCCAGCTGCTCCCTTGTCCTTGGGCACCACCTTTAACACTCCCACTGGAGGACTCCCACAGCTGTTCTAACTGCTTGATCATAAACCTGCAAAACTCACAGTTGCTCAGAGCACAGTTCTCTTTGCTGAGGAAGGAAGAAAGGCAATTCCACATATATTCAGAGTATACACAGAGCTGGTAATTTGGATTAAATGGATGAAGAGACAGAGCACTCAACACACAGAGAAGTCGTGTGTGGTTTGGGTGAGGGGACAGAGCAGGACAGGGCAGGACCGAGCATGGGCAGCACAGCCAGAGAACAGGAAACAAACTAAGTGTTCCGGGCTCTTGTTACCTTTCGAGTAACTCCACTGCTTGGTACCTCGCCGATTGGTCCAAGCGCCATTTCTCAGACAAAAGGAATATAAATTCTGCAAAGAGCACAGCAGTCACTGGTTCAGTCTCCTGAAGCTCACTGTACAGCTGTGACCTGCCCTGGGGGCTGCTGTAGCCAAGTCAGTCTCACCCACGATCCGCGTGTCCTTGAAGCTCCCGGCGTGCTCCGGCAGCTCGCTCAGGTACTGCTCATTCTCTGTGGCCAAGTGGATCAGCGTGTCCTCGATGATTTCAGGAGTGACCCCGCTGAACACGGGGCCTGGGTCACGGTTCCAGAGTTCCACGGGCACCGGGGACCCCATTTAATTTAGCAGGTTGGGGTCGAAGCCATAATGATGACAATGGTTCCACCAGCCCCACAGGGGCAGGGCAGGGCCCCACCAGCCCCTCCGGGCGCCCGGAGACACCACTGGGAGGGCACGGCCCCTCGGTGAGGCTGCGTTCGGGCAGGGACAGGGGCAGGGGCAGGTTCAGGCAGTGGGCCCGGTGGGGCAGGGGCGGGCGATGGGCCCGGTTGCTGCAGGCTCAGCCTGCAGCGCCCTCCGGGTCTCGTGACCCCGCTCCGCCAATCAGCGAGCGCCGCGGCCGGCACGCGCCGGGCCTCAGCCAACCACTCGACGCCGCGCGCCGTCCGCGCCCTCCGATTGGTCAGCGCCCGCCGACCGGATGTAACGTCACTGCGCCGCGCGGAGGCTGCGGGGGAAGATGGCGGCGCCGGAGGAACCGGGCGCGGTGGCGGCGTTCGCGAAGCGCATCGACCCTGCCCGGGAGCCGGGGCTCAGCCCCGAGCAACGCCGCCTCATGGCGCAGGTGGAGTACGCCCAGCGCCAGCGCGTCCTGCGGCGCCGGCTCCGCGGCCGCAACAGTCTGCTGGCGCTCGGCATCGCCGCGGTGACGCTTGGAATCTGTATCCTCCACGGCTGGAGCGGGGCGGGGCCAGGGGGCGCCGGGGCCACGCCCGCTGCTTTTCCTTAACCCCTCCCGCAGACGGGTACACCTTCTACTCGGTGTCTCAGGAGCGGTTCCTGGACGAGCTGGAGCAGGAGGCGGAGGCGGCGCGGGCGCGGGCCCGGGCGCGGGCCGAGGGCGCGGCGAGCTGAGCGCGGAACGCCCGGCCCAGTCCGGCCCGTGACTGAGCTGCCGCCCCCGTGGGGCTGGACGGGCCTTGAGCCCGGGGCAGCCGCCCCCCGGGGGTTCGGGCCTGCCCCGTGCTCAGCCCGAGCCTGGGGAAGGTCCCGGGGGCTCCCCGCGGGCAGCCCCCACCCCGGGGCCTTTGCCGGCACCGTGCCCATGGGAAGGACAGGGGTGCCCAGGTCCCACCACTCCTTACAATAAACCCTCTCACTGGAGACCGTGTCAGTGCCCGTGGAGCAGCTGCTGGGCAGAGCCCGGCTCAGGATCTCACCCCCTCGGGGGCTGCTGGGGCGGGATTTTCTGTTCTGCTCTTTATTGTGGCACATCAAGGCCAGCAGCCACAGGTCCTGCCCAGTAGACACACACACACACTCCATTCATATTCAATCCGTGTTTATGAAAATGTCTTCTGCACACCAGTTCTTAACAAAGTGCTCCTGGATCCTGCGGCTCCTGGTGCTCCAGCTCCATCCTGTGACAGGGCCATGGGGAGCTCATCCCACCCCGTAGGGTGGGCGGGGGGCTCAGGCCCGTGTGGGAAGGGGGATGGAGATCAGTGTGGTGCAGGGCTGGGGCGAGCAGGGGCTCCGGGGTGGGCTCAGCTCAGTAAAGCCACAAGAGGTGGGGACACCTGGCACATGTCCTCCAGCAAAGGGGCTGGGGACAGCAGGGAGGGCCCCGGGAGCACAGGGTTGGAGGTGGGACAGACTTGCCCCTGGCCAGCTGCACTGCCCCTGCAGAGCCCGCAGGGTCCCCACCACAGGTCTGGGTTGCCCGGGGCTGGCACTGCCCTCCATGGGGTGCAGGGGCTCTGCCCTGGGGCCACAGGCACTTGGATGAGGTAGTTCATGAAGTCACTGCTGGCCAGCTGGCTACTGTGGAGAGAGGTGGCCATGAGCTGGGAGCATGCCAGGATCAGCCCCCATCCCTCACCCTAACCCCTACCCTCGCCCTAACCCTCACCTTAACCCTCACCCTTACCCTTACCATGCGGCCGAGGTCGTCGGCGAAGGTCACCCCCTTGCTGAGCCGCTGCTCCTGCGAGCCCGTGCTGCTGCCACTCAGCGAGTTACGGCGCATGATGCCTGCGGGGACAGCGGCCCTGAGCGGGGGCAACGGCCCTGCAACACCCAGCCCGGAGGGATCCCACAGACCCCGCCCAGCTCTGGGCTCTGGGGGGAGCGGGGCTGTCACCTGCGGGCTGTGCCAACTCCAGGCGCTGCAGGCTGTTGCGGCGGGAGGGGTTGAAGCTGCCCTTGGAGAGGCGGCGCTGGCGGCTGGACAGCATCGCGGCAGGAGAGACGATGCCCAGTGGTGGCTGCTTCCCCATCCTCAGGTACAGCTCCTCAATCTCCTTCTTCTGGGCGCTCTGCAGCAGCTGCACCTCGGCCAGGTGCCTGCGGAGGACACGGGGTGTGGCAGCAGGGCCTTGGGGAAGGAGCATCGCCCTCCCACCTGGGGTGGGTGGGAAGACCTGTCCCCTCCTGCAGGCCCCGTGTCACCTCTTGAGTGCAGCCCACCCTCCTGCTCACTTCTGGCGCAGGTTCTGCAGCTCCTCCCAGATCTCCTCGTCCTCGCTCTCGGTGTCGTCGCTGCTCACGTAGGACAGGCTGCGGGGGTAGCTCAGCCACACCTGGCTCAGCACGGCCTGGGGGGTGCTGTCTGTGCCCTCCTCCCCAGGGCCTTCCTGGTCGCTCTCCAGTGGTGCCACTGGCATCGTGCCCTCCTTGGCCAGTGCCTCTTCAGCCTTGGCTTCCTGCTCCGCTGCCTCCAGCACTGCATCCGAGTCGTTGCTTGAGCTGTGGCCCGTGTCGGGGACCGTGGGAGGCGGGGAGCCACTCGCTGGCCCCACTTGCTGCTCTCCCTCGCTGCTGCTCCCATTTTGCACAGGGGAGGGCGCAGGCAGGTCCTTGGTTGGTATCACGTGGAACCGGCCCAGCACCTGGGGCTTGGCTTCTGCTGGGGACAGGGGCAACTGGTGGGGTTCAGGGCTCATGGGCTGGCAGGAACATCACGTGCCCCAGCACGGGCACAGCTCCAGTGCAGCCCCAGCCCTGCCCCGCCTCACCTTCGTTGATGGGTGAGAGCTGGGCCATGCGCACGGCAGGGTCCGGCAACTCCGACACGATGAGTGAATGGCTGGGCTTGGGGACACCGGGTGGCACCTGTGGGACCTGAGCACAATCAGCTGCCCCTTCCCACGTCCCCTCACATGTCCTGTTCCCCCACCGCTGCTCCTGGAACCCACTGCCCACTCATTCCTCCCAGTATCCAAGTGGTTCCACAAGCCATGAGGCTTCCTGTTCCCCTGCAGCTACCACCCAGCCTCCCTGGCACTGAGCTTCACCTCAAGCAGCCTTGGGGAGCCTTTGCACCCCCATACTCACCGTGCTGCCCTCTGGGCTCCCTGGCGTGGACGAGCTCAGCGGTGGCAGGGGACTACCCACGGCCTCACTGTCTGTGGGGCACATTGGGGCTGGTGCTGGGGGTGGGAAGGATATGGGCCCCCCGGCAGTGGGGACATCAGCCCCTGCTGACTCCAAGATCCCACTGCCAGCCGGGACTGGCTTGACTGTGCTGGTGGGGTCGGGGTAGACAAAGCGTGGGGCCCCCAGGACAAGACTCTCTGGCCGTGGCAGCAGCGGAGGGTAGAGGTGCCCACCCGAGCTGGCAATAGGGGAGACAGTGGGCAGCAGCGTTTGGGCCACGCTCATCACTGCCAAGGAGAAGACGTTGGCCAGGGTCAGGAGGGGGGTGGTGGGGGACCAGGATGTGCTGGTCACAGGGGGGCTCAGGGGGCTGCTGAGCTCAGAGGAGACAGGGGACGTGGGGAGAGGCTGTGGGGACAGGAGTGCTTGGGGCAGGGCCGGTGGGACAGGCCCCTCTGGGGTCCTTGTGGGGGTCTGTGGGAACACCGGTGAAGACGTGAGCCAGGAGGGAGCCATTGAGATGAGTGGCCAGGTCTGCACGGAGCCTGCAGAGAAAGGAGCATCAGGAGTGGCTCCTGAGTGCCCCCTCCTCCCCCCCCCACCCAGGCACCCCAGAGCCTCGATCCGGCGGCCCCGGTGTGATGGACACTGGCCCTGCCAGTGCCGGTACCTGCGGGGGCCTCCAGCGGTGCCGGGGCTGCCGGTGCCTCTGCAGGGCTGGCCAGGTCAGTCTCCGATGGGGAGCGGCTCAGTGATGGCAGGATGGGGGACTGCACAGAGAGTCTGGGACTGGTGCAACTCAGGTCTGCAGCACAGGGGTGACAACCAGGCTCAGCCAGGGCAGGACATGCCCCATGAGACCCCACCAGGGCTTGGCTGAGGCCATCCCCTGCCCTGCATGGGGCTTGGAGGGGACGAGAAGAGCCCACGCAGGGGCACAGACATACCACTGAGCGAGGACGAGGAGGAGATGGAGCGTGAGAGCCCCTGCAGCTGCAGGTCCACCTGCAAGGAGGATGAGCTAAGCCCAACACTGGGGCAGAGGCCCTGGCCAAGCTGTGCTAAGCCCCACCCTGGCCCTACTACCTGTAGAGACAGGAGCTGGAGGCTGTGCCAGGCAAGGGACCACCACCACTTGTCACAGCAGTGGGCAAGTGACCACAGGAGGACCCTGTACCCCAGCCCCCTTCCCCCCGGGCTCTCTGGGACCAGGCAGCACCCCCAGTCACACTGAGCATCAGCAGCTTTGCCAGCACTGGCAGGGCCGGGCTGGCACTCACAGGGCTGCCCACGCCACCCTCAGCCTCGGGGCTCCTGGGCAGCTCGGCGCCGCTGCGCCCGTCCTTGCGGAGCAGGGTCTCCACGCGGTGGATGATGTCCCGGATGCGGTTGATGAAGCCATCCCGCTCTGACTTGAGGATGAACTCGTTGTGGACCTGGGGGCAGAGGGGCTGGTCAGCAGCTGGCACAGCCAGGCAGATCCTCGCCCTCACCCTCACCCCGCACTCACCATGACAGCTGCGATTTCCTCCGGGTTGTCCCCATCCAGGTCAAACTTGAAGGTCACCATTTTGTTGTTGTAGGTCTGCAGCTGGCACTCCACCACCCGGTCACTCTTGTCGGAGATCTGTGGGTGGCAGAGCTGGCTCAGCCTGAGAGCGCCTGCCTGGCGCCCGCCTGGCACCTGTGGCACTCACGTTGGTTATGCGCAGCCTGGAGCGGGCTCGGCGCCGCAGCAGCTTCCCCGAGGTTCGCTTGGGCGGCAGCTTCGTGCTCTGCTCGCTGGCCGAGAGCCCCTCGTAGCCATCGCTCATGCCCGATGCCACATCTGAGGTGTAGCTGCAAGAAGCCCCAGCACTGGAGCATCAGCGTGGCCATTCCCAGGTGCCACACTCTCCATCCAGGCCTCACCCAGCCCCCCAGCCTCACCTGTCCACCGGGGAGGAGAAGCCGCTGGTGGGGGGCAAGCGGTCTGTGGGCAGCTGCACCGCGATGCTCTGAGGGGAGAGGACAGGGTGAGACGGTGCCACAGCCGCCCCGACCCCCCACCCACGGGGCCTCACTCACCGTGGGGAAGCAGCGCACGGGCCGGGTGGGAGGAGGGCTGGCAGGGTCCCCAGCCACAAAACTGCGGTGGGCCAGGTCTGGGGAGTCCAGGAAGCCGGAGGAGCTCAGGTATCCATCTGTCTCACAGTCGGCTGTGGAGGAGCACTGGCATGAACCAGAGCAAGTCCCCTTCCCAGCTGAGTGCCTGGGAAAGGGCTGTGGGGCTGGGAGAAGGAGAGGGATCCCCCACCCACCTCCCACCTCAGGTCCCCTGCTGCCCACCCAGCTGTCGCCCACCCAGTGCCTACGCACAGGTGGCCGAGGAGTAGCTGGTGTGCTGGTAGGCAAAGTGCTGGTGCTGGTCGGCCTCGGGCTCCTCAGGCTCCGGGGGGAAGGTGCTGCTGAAGACAGAGTCCCTGGAGCCAGGGATGGCTGGGGCAGGCGCGGGGGCACCGGGTGGCCGTGGGGACTTGAGCTCCTCCAGCAGCTGCAGGACACCCGGCGGCTGCTCTGGCTCTGCAGGTGATGGCACGTCCTGGACACGCTTCAGCTTCTCCCGCTTGCGCTTGATGGCGGCCACACGATCCCTCACCGCCTTGGCCACAAGTTTGTAATCGGCCTCACAGATGAAGCCCAGGACTACCTGCACGGAGGAGGCTTGTCACTTTGGGGTGCAGGGACCCCACAGCACCCAGGGCTCCCTTGTTCCCATCCCCACCATCTCCTGGGCCACTTCCTCTGCTACGTCCTTGTGGAGCTCAAAGAGGAACTCGATGGCGTTGTTGTCCTTGTATTTGCCGTGCAGCTTCTTCGTGTCATCCATGCGCAGCCAGAGCTTGAGCCCAGACTTGACACCATCATCCTCCTCAGCCAGCTCCACATGCACCCCCGTGTCCTCCTGGAAGAAGGAGTGCTCCAGCAGGTCCTGGATGGTGTACCTGCAGGGGACACAGTTCAGCAAGGGCTGGGGGCCAAGGGGGACCGTGCCACCCAGGCCCCAGCTCTGACCCCACCTCTCATTCTTGTCCATGCGGATGCAGCCTTCAATAATCTCCTTCAGCTCTGGCACCTTCACCTTGTAGAAGCTGCTGGGTTTCAGGCCCTGGGGGTGATGAATGTCAGCACCTTCTTCTGTGCCAACTCGCCGCAATGCCAGGCTCCCAGGGCCCGGAGAAGAACCAGCCCAGGGCTCCACTGGAACTGCAGCAGCTCCCATGGCCAAGCCACGTGTGCCTGCACGGGCCAGGATACCCTGGGGCTCTGGGTTTCCACCCCAGCAGGCAGGAGCTGGCAGGAACTGGCCATAACCGGCCAGGGCAGATGCCATGCCTGATGTAGGGGGTGGCCAAGCAGACCTGCTCCTGTTCCACCCCATTAATGTGCTGGCAGTGCCTAGTGTAGGGTGAGGGACACAGGGTCTGGCCAAGCCATGGCCCCACCACCACCACCACCACCACCACCACCCGCAGCTCCATGCCCCAGCACAGCAACCCCTCGCTGACCAGACTATCTTTAACCACTTGCACAACCTTCCCGGTGACACATTTTGGGCAGCAACAAGGCCTGACAGCTTCAGCTGACTGTCCCCCCCCCCTGCCCATTGTCCTGGCTCCTGCAGCATCAGCCAGCGGCGTCACCCACGCCCGGGGCTGGGGCCTCACCGAGGTGACCTTGCGGTAGATCTGGGCAGCGTTCTGGCACTCGGAATAGGGGTACTCTGAGGTGGCCATCTCCAGCATGCACATCCCGAAGGCGTAGACGTCCACTGCCTCGTCATACTTCTCCTCGTACATCTCTGGTGCCATGAACTCGGGGGTGCCTGGAGGTGGCAGTGGAGCTCAGTACCCCCGGGGAACCCACCCCCTGCAACCCCCCCAGCCCCTGCGAGCCCAGCCATGCTGAGACCCCACCTATGACACTCTTGGCAAAGGAGGCTCGCTTAAGTGTGGCCAGGCCCAGGTCCCCAATCTTGACCGAACCCGTGGGGCCCGTGATGAAGATGTTGTCACACTTGAGGTCACGGTGGATGATGGGAGGGGAGCGGGTGTGCAGGAAATGCAGCCCCTTGAGGATCTGCCGGCTCCAGCGCTGCAGCACCTTCAGCTTCATCTCCTTAAACCGCTTCAAGTACCTGCCAGGGACCAACAGGGCTCAGACCCCCAGGGCTCAGACCTGTGGGGCTCGGACCATGCCCCAGCCCTGGCCCAGCCCACTTTCCTCCTGCTGCCATGCCAAGGCTATCCAGACTCAGGTGCCCACACTGGGCAAGCAACAAAGAGCACCTCAGCAGGGACCCTGCCCCCTCCCCTGCACACCCCAATCCAGCGGTCCCTGCTCACGTTTTCAGGGTGCCAGATGTCATGAGCTCTGTGACCAGCACAATGCAGATCTGCCCTTTGATGGTTGACTTCCAGGAGTCGTAGAAGCGAACGATGTTGGGATGCTGCAGCCCCTTCAGCATCTCCACCTCCTCGCTGAACCGCTGCCGCTCTGTCTTCGACAGCTTCCGCGTCTGTGGGAGCCATCGAGGGGGTGAGGGGGGCACGTGGGGTCCTGCCGAGACCTGCTGTCCCCCGGCACAGCGGTGCACACAGGGCTGGGGCCGCCCCGGAACGTGGCCTCCCTCCACCCCTCTCCCCCTGCTCTGGGTGTGTGCACAACAGATGAGGCACTGAGAAGCGCTCGTGTGCTTCCCCGCTGTCCTGTGCTGGGGCCGCCCATCCCTCCCCTCGCTCAGCCCCCAGCCGGAGCCCACCCCCTCCCCACAGGACAGGGAAGCCCACCCTGCAGCCGTCCTGCCGAGGGGACATGCGGGGGTTCTGCAGCAGCGGTTGCCATCCTGCCCTGTGCAGACCCGATGGCCACGGCCCTTCTGCCCCTGCCGGGGCACCACCGGCACCAAGCTCTGCATGGCGGGGTGCCGGGACAGCCTCAATGAAGCCTTTGTTGGGGAAAGCGGGCGGGGGAGGCTCCAGCCCAGGTTTTTCCATGTTCCTCCTGCTCTAGTTAATTAAACTGGAAACCGAAGCCGAGGGTGCTGAGTGGAGCTGGGGTCGGGGCCAGCGGAGGGGACGGAACCCTCCATCCTGGAGGGACACAGCTTAAGAGTGCAGGGAAGGGTGGAGCTGACTGAACAGAGCTAGAGGAGCTGGATCCTGCCCTGAGCGGGGCAGCTGTGAGTGCCGAGCCCTGGGCAGAAGCAGGAGCAGAAGCACCAACAACTCCACCACAGCCTGGGATCCTGATGAGCTCAGCTGCTGGGGGCCTTCCAGCTGGGACCCCTGCCCAGCCCATGCTCGGGGGCAAGGAAACCGGAGCTGTGCTCGGCCCCTTGGCCGGTGGCTGCCATCCCTCAGCTCCAGCAGCTTTCGTAATATTTTCATTGCATCACAGGTGGCCCCACGGCCAGACTGGAGCCGCTTCATAATCCCCCCTGCATTTAACACACGCTCAGGGACCGGCTCAGCCCAGATGAGAACCTGAGCCTGCTGCAGTGGGATGAATGGGACCTTTCATACACGAGGAGGAAAACAGCCCCCGAACCCCTGCATGGCCAGCAGCAATCACCGGCTGCCCTGCCCAGTGCCACAGCCACCATCACGCCCTCTGGCTCCCCACTGCCCACAGAGGCATCCAGAGGCTTCACTGCACCCCACAAACCTGCAAGGGCACAAGGAAGCTGTCATGGGCTGTGAACAGGGGCAGAGAGGGAGTTGTGGGTGGCCACGGCTCTCCCAGCTCAGTGAGAGCAGACGCCGCCTGGATCAGTTGTGCCAGCACAGCCCCCACTGTGCCACCCCCAACCCCAGGCAGGACCCCAGCACAAGGCTTCCTCTCCCACTGTGCCTGGAGCAAAGTCTGGGGGAGCTGAGTGTGTCCTTTGAGCCTGTGCCAGGTCTGCTGGGCTCACCTGGCACCGTTCCTCATGCACGACCAAAGCGGCAGCCGCTCCCAGTCCCAGGCATCCTGATGCTCTCCCCATTGATTGTGGGGATCTGTGGCCAGAGGAGCACCAGGGAGGGCAGGGCAGGCAGGGCTGCCAGCACGGACATGCTGCACGGCACGGGCACACCACGTCCTCTCCTAAGAGCACCCGCACAGGGTGGGGGAGGACACTGGGGATGGTGGTGTGGGGACGGTGAGGAGCTGGTGGCAGTAGTCCAGCCCTATCCTGTGAGCCAGGAGCTGGCTGCCAGGGAGCCCGGCACAGCCAACACCAGGAGCTGAGGCCAGCAAGGGAGGAGGGAGGGCTGGGTATGGTGGCCGAGGATGGTTCTCGCCTCTGCAGCAGGACCTGTCCCCAGCACTTGGCAGTGTTGGTGCTCAGCACACTCCGCAGCACTCCCAGGGCTCTCCTGTTCCCATAGCACTCGCACTCTGGAGGAGCATTCACAGCAACACCATGGTGGGGCACAGAGCGGGTGCTGGAGAGCGCCCAGCCATGACCACAGCACCTCCAGCCACAGGGAAGTCCCAAGCCCCCTGCACAGGAGCCAACTCTACAGCAGCAGTGGGTGCCATTGCCTCACTGCCCTGCCCACAGGTCTGCCCTGCTGAGCAGGGAGCTCCTGCGTGCTCACAGGCATGTGAGCACACACACAAGGTGCCCCCCAGCCCCGGGGCTGCTGGCTGAGGTTACCAGTCCAATCTGGGTGCTGGAGCCGGGGGAGGCACGACAGCACCCACTGCCCAGGATGCTCTTGCCCACTGAGAAGCCCCAAGGGGTTCCACAGGAAAATCACTCACAGACAGGTATTTACAGCCCAACCCCACTCTGGGCCTCCGGTTTCCTCCCTGCTTCCTCCTTTCCCATTGCCCGCAGCACCTACCACAGAAATAGCCCTGGGCTAAAGCTGGAAAGCACAAACAGCGGGGCTGTGGACACAGGCAGGAGGCACAGACAGACGCTGCGTTCAGGAGTAGGGGGCAGTGGTACGAGGGGATGGGGCTGGGCAGGTCCCCAGAGGGGTCTCACAGGAAGACTGGACAGGCAAAACCAACCTAGAGTTTGCCAGACTCCGAGGAGGGAAGGGCAGGGCGAGGACAGTAGGGAGAGATGGGATTTGGGACTGGGATCCATCACAGCAGCTGGACAAGGCTCGCTGGTGCAGAACAGGTCAGGCCTGAGGTTAGGTATTCATTTGGAATTGAAAGGCAATAGAAGGAGAACTGTGAAATGCACAGGACAAAGCTATTTTTAAAGTGGCAGAACCACAACCACTTTTATTTGCGGTTCCAAATCCCATATTTGTGTCACAGTGTCCAGCTCTTTGCATGATTGCTGAAAAAAACAAACTTCTAAAAGTCTGCCTCTGTGCCCTCAGCCCCTTGTGGGACATGGATTTGGGGACAAGAGACACTGGATAAAGAGTGCTCAGTGGGATGAAGCCAAATAGTGGGTGGGGAGGGGAGAGGGCTGGGACAGAGGGGTGGGGGGGAGGTGCGGGGGTGGCACTGGGGGGGCAGTGGGGCTGGGGCTGCCCACAGGGATCTGGTTGTGCTCCCCTGGCAAGGTGTAGGGCAAGGAGAGCCAGGTCTGCCAGGTCTCCCAACACCATGGGATGCTCACAGGAGGGTCCCTGACACGAGCTCAGCTTAGACCCCGGCCTCTCTACACCCGCCCCCCGCCAGCTCCCCTGGGACCAAGGAAGTGGCTCCTGCCACTCCTGCCTGGCTGACTCACAGGACTGGCAGTGGGGCCAGCATGTGCCTGCTGGACTGAAGCATGGGAGCATTTTGCTTCCCAGCTTCCTTTCTCCCATCTGGATGGTGCAGCCTCAACTCCCCAGCAGCCTCTCACAAATGACCAGCGCTGCCTGCACGCACCTGCAGGGATGGGCAGGATGGCAGGGAAGGAGATGTGCTGCCAGTCCCACTGCACACGCCAGGTGCCAGCGCAGGGGAGATGGGGCACAGCTGTGACACGGGGCTGAGACCCACAGGGAGGGACACGGAGCCAGCTGAGTGGGAAGCACTGGGCACGGCTGACTCATCCAGAGAAGGTCCTGGTCTCACCAAGGAGAGTCTATCCCCGGCAGCAGCTGCCACCTGAAGGGACTCAGCAGAGGTCAGGGACATTTGGATGGAGCCATGGAGCTGCATGAGGGTGGGAGAACTGAGTCGGCTCCGGACTGAACTCTCAGCAATTCTGTGCAATCCATGAGGGGGGGCCAATCCTCACCTTCCTCATTAAGAGGCTACAGTCAGCCCTCCAGAAATCACCCACCTCTCTCTCAGGATCTCTTCTTGCTCTGGTGGGCTGCAGCCACCCCAAGGACCCAGCCCAGGCAGACACCTGCCACTGCAGCAAGCTTTTAGGAACAATTCAACAAACTCGCAAGACATGTTTTTCTGTGTCAACAAGGACTTGGACCTTCCCACCACAGCAGCCATCCCAGGGCCAGGAGCCTGTGGGAGACTTTGGACTTCACCAAAGCCCTTCCCCAGGGGCTTCAAGGAGAAAAGGGAGCCCCATGGCACAGCTCTCCTTGTGCACCTCCACGGGCAAGATCACCCCCATCAAAAACAATAAGTGGGCGAAGGCATTGCACAAGCAACATCTTCACCACTGCCCTCAGCATCCCATTGTCTGCATCCTGCTGTCAGGCTGTAAGGCAGCAAAGGGGATGAAGGAGTATGTCAGCAGAGAGGAACGCTCCTCAGAGACCTGCAAAACCACAGATAGCTGCTCCCAGCAGAGAGCCCCTGGCAGCATCACAGAAACCACACACAGGTGCCCACAGACTCTACTTCAGCAAAGGTCAAGCAGGCAGAGCACATCAAGGTCGTGTTGTACCCTGCTCCCAGCTAACACCCAGCCCCCGCCTGCTGCAGGCACGTGCTCCAGAGCAAACCAAGGGCTGTCGGAGCAAACCTCGGAGCCGTTTCCAGCACTGGCACAGACACATGGGCAGGGAGGGCACTGCTGCCCTCGCTGCCCTCCCAGGGGAAAATCTGCAAGCTGGTGGGCACCAGAAAGGCAGGGGGTTGTTCAGCCCCAGCAGCTCATCCTGGATCCACCTGTAAAGCCCCAGAGCAGGGACTGGCACCAAGAGGTTGGGTCCCCTGGCATGTTCCAAAGCACAGGCGGCAAAAAGGCAAACGGAAAACAGCACGTGATGGGCAGGAGGGCCAGGAGCGGCGGTGCTAAGCAGGAGTCTGGGCCCGGGCCAGGAGCCCCGCGAGGCACCAAGGCACTGGCAGTGATCGGCACAGTGCAGGGCAGCGAGGGGAGCCCGTGCCCAGCCACAGGTCCCTGCCCTGCCCGGCTGCTGTTGCCCGACTGGCTGGTAGTGCCTGGCAGAAGTGGGGGCTCGAGAGTCCCTGCCATTGCTAGAACAGGCTCCAGCCCGGGAAAGTGCCCTACGGGTCCCACACAGCTTTCAGGCAGGCAGCAGGGGTAAGTGGGCTCAGGCCTGGGGGCCTGCACATGCCAGGGAAACTGGATGGAGAAGGGTCCAAGTACCCCTCTCGAGCCCCTTGCCCCGGTGCAGGGGTCTGCGGGCGCGGGTAGAGCGCGAGTAGGCAGGGGCGGAGGCGCTGGCAGGGGCCGTACCTGCAGCTCGCACCAAGCCACCTCCACGGTGGTCTCCGTGTCCAGCCCCTTGTAGACGGTCTTGAAGGAGCCGCGGCCGATCTCGATGTCGAACTTGAGGAACCGGCCGTCGGGAGAGGTGGCGACCGCCCGCGTCTCCACCTCCTCGCTCTCCGTCTCCTCCGGCTCCCGGAGCCCGGCGACGCCCGACGGCGGCGGCGACCCCCCGAGCACTCCGTCCGGCGCCGGGTACCCCAGAAGCTCCAGCTCGGCCGAGCTCCGCCGGTTAAAGCGGAAGGAGGCGCGTCGGGAGTCGCGACCCGAGGGCCGTCGGCTGCGGTGAGGGGCCCGTCCGGGGAGCTCCGGTCCCGGCTCCGGCTCCGGCTCCGGTGCGGAGCCGTCACCCGCCCGCTCCGCCTCGGGCTGGGACATGGTTCCGGCAGCGGCGGGCTCGGCCGCCAGCATCGGCTCAGCCCGGCCGGGGCGGCCGCTCCCGCGCAGCTTCGCACCCGTTGCCGCCGCGACCCCGCAGCCAGGAGGGACCGCCGAGACCCGGCCCGGGCACCGGCCCCAGCCCCGCCGCTGCCCCGCCCGGCGGCACCGCCCCCG